GAGAGAGAGAGAGAGAGAGAGAGAGAGAGAGAGAGAGAGAGAGAGAGAGAGAGAGAGAGAGAGAGAGAGATGGCATATCCTCAGCTGACAGCAAATTTTATTGCTGAAATACTTGAGAATGGCCAGTCCAAGACCGACCCAGCTGTCCAGCTTCTTGGTGTGACGCAGAGTCCGTCGCCAAACGTAGAGCGGTTTCGGCTCATCATCTCCGATGGTACTCATGTTCACCGTGCTTTGATAGTCCCACAGATGAACGAAAAAGTGAAGTCTGGAGTGCTCCGTCCTGGATTGATTCTACGGTTGAAAGGCAGTTTTTGTCATCCTGTTGAGAATGGCGGGTAAGTCACCTCAGCCCTCTTTGGTCCTCACTCCACCAGTCACCAATTTTGCAAAATGAGAATGAATTTTCTGCTACAACATGGAAAGATGCACCGCCGTAATTTTCGTCTGTTGTTCATGTGGTAAGTGGTGGAGAGAGGTTCTTTATTTATTTATTTATTTATTTTCTTTCCTTGCATAGGGGCCATGTTAATCTTCTCTGTATCGTTCCAATTTAGGACGAGCGAGGTCCTTTGTCGTACTGGCTTCTGCCGAATTCGTTTGATACAGGGGAAGACAGCAGTCGTCCAGCTGGTCATCGCCACACCCTTGCTGTTTTGTCTTTGCTTTTACGGCTAGCTAGATCTTTGAATAGAAATTCGCTCATTACACTTTTCTTTTTTTTTCTTTTCTTTTTTCGGTCTGAACTTGGATGGTGTCTTTACTCATGTACACACGGGCCGTGGTAATCTTCTCTGTATCGTCCTTTTTAATGCAAATCCCGAAGGGCATTGCCACATTCTCCTCTCCTTCGTGTCTTCACTTCATTTTGCTATTTGTGAACTGCATGCAACTCCCATTACCTTTTCGGTTAACGGGGGAGAGGGGTGGGGGGGGGGGGGGGGGGCACAAAGGGCAGGAAGTGGCCTCTCTGTTCCCAAAGCTGGGGGGCACGAGGCCCCACCAAGATCATGACTACGCTGTCACCCTCTTCGGCGTCCCCTTCCAGGGAACCTGCACATGGCGCGCTGCAGAGGTTGCCTCTCAAGACTACAATTCAGGGAGCAGCACAGCCCCCGGATTTTCAGTCTGGGCTATTCCCGGTTCGCTCGCCGCTACCAAGGGAATCCTCGTTGGTTTCTCTTCCTCCGCTTAGTTATATGCTTAAATGGGGCGGGTGCTCCCGCCCGACCTGAGATCAAAAGGCAAGGCCCRACGTACCTCCACAGCTCGAGGCTGACACCCCCAATCGCAAGCCCACCTCAAGCTGATGGGAGCGAACGGAAGGCAACGACCACACAAACCGGAGGGACGACCTTACGTGCCGTTTTCGGAGAAACGAAGACCACCACCCACAAACGGGTGCTGGAGGGCAACAACAGGGCGGAGCGAAACGCACCACTCTGGGCTGCGGCCCCCA